CATTAAACAAATCCCAGATCTATAACAAGGAACATATATTTCTTAAAAAGTAAATCGTCCAAATTCTAATATTGTTGGAATATGCCAATTGAAAGAATGATAATAATTTTGTCAAGTGTTTCTCATCCAGTGTTGTCCTTTACTTACATTCTCATTTGCAGACTACAGTTTCTTACTATTATATACACTGATTACTAGTACTAAACTATTAGTATTAAATAACTTGCTAGATCCCATTTGTCTTAGACGAAAGAGCTCAGTGACCTCCTAAATGAAAACTTAATTATCAATTTATAAGGCACTATATTGTGGTCAGATAATTGTGTATGTTTAAAATAATGCTACACTTTGTACTCAAGAAATTTGATGTGTAGGAGGGCACAATATTTTTATTGACTTACACAACACAGGAATAGTTTTCTTCCATTTTTGCCTTTTGAATAAAAGTCATCCCATAATTTCCATCCATCTTAGTTCGTTGGCTCTATACTGTTCACATCTTTACTAAGCAATGAAATGCAGTTTTTCTGGTCTTCTGCCCTAGCTCTCCTTTTCGTTTATTCCTTCTTTCTTCCCAGTCTCAGAATAAGTCTTTCCAGCCTGCTTGTTGAGCCAGTATATGAGTTTGTTATTTTGAGTCCATTTTCTATACATGTCTTAACTATCTCAATTCTGATTTCATTATTTTATTTATGTGGCAAAATACCAGGAGAGATATCAGTGTATTTCTTGGTGGTAAATGTCTTATGTACCATCCATTTCAGTTATGGTGCATGGAGAGACAGATTTCATATGCAGCTAGCAAACTGAAATGGATTAGTTTTTATGAGGTTTCATATCTTGTGGTCCAGGCACTGTGTTGCAACAGAAGGGCAAAGTCAGAACACACTGTAAATCATCCAGGAAATGTGCAAAACCAGCTGAAGTTTCTGAGTTCACCAGAATTAAGATGGGTGCAGAGGTTATGAAAATAATACTATATCATTGTGGCAAGGCTCACATTGAAGTTGAAAGGTCGTTGATCTTCATGCCAAACACCGAGGTTAAAACCTGCCTCTCCCAAAGCTGCCACCTGCTATCTGGGCAGCTGTAGGCCTAAGAGCGCCCCAGAACCCTAGACCACCTTGTTTGCTGGAATTTGGGTGTCAGGTTACACTGTAGGAAGATGCACTAGAAGAGGTGCCAGTCATTCATGGTTATAAACTTCGATTTTGAAATAGTGACTATATAAAATGCAATAATGCCTAAAACATATGTAAGTAAGCTTCATAAATACTTACTTTGAGAAAGCTTGTAGAATTGTGTTCAACTGTTAAACTGAACATAAAACAATTTTTTAAAATAATGGAATTGTAATTCTGCCACTCCAGAATTAAATAATGATGGATAAGCTAAAGCATTATCCATTTGAAACATAATATCTATACACACACACACACACACACACACACACAGTATTTAAAATTGCTTTTGGTTAGTAAATAAAATTGACCAGATGCAGTTGATGGAAACAGATTCTTTTGCCCATCATTCAAAAGCTGTCTAGTATGTTTTGTAAGAGTAAGTTTCTGCCAATTTTCCTTCTATTTTGATTCTTGGAATGTTTTGTGAAACAGACAGGTTTCTACTTTGGATCTATATACATCCCCCAACATACTCCCATATATGGTTTATACTTTATAAACACAATTTAGAGTCACTACAATTGGGTTTTGCCTGCAAGTCATTATGGCTCCTAAGTACAATTCACACTTTGTATATCATTGTGTATTCGAGTTTTTGCTGTTTTGTTATTGTGGTTGGATGTCTTTGACTTTTTACTTGATATGGCACTTAGTTGATTAAATACATAGTATTAAAAGGGAAAAACACAGTGCTATGTCCTCACAGTTTCATGAATGGAGAAGCGGAAACTCATCTTGGAAGCCTTCTTAGAGGAAAATAAGTAGACAGCAATTATACAGAAATGGCTGACTTCATTCAAAGGAAACTCTGATAAGAGGATTATAAGTATCTTTATGTTAAAATTTGTTTATGCCTAATTTTTGTGTTTTTCCTGGAGAAAAAACTGCTCAGTTTAGATCTGATAAAAGACATTATCAAACAGAAAAATACTTTACTTTATTATAGCAGGCCTGATGCTGTAACATTGCTGCTACACACTTTTGATTGAATGATAAATTTCTGGGCTGGGGCTTTAGCTCAGTGGCATAAGCACCTGCCTTGCAAGCACGCAGTCATGAGTTCAATCCTCGGTACCAAAAAAAAAAAAAAAAAAAAAGCTGAATGATAAATTTCTTTGATAATTTTTAAACATATTATTTATTAATTTATCCTGTTTATTTTTGAAATCATGATGACTAATCAGCCCATTTATATGAAAAGATCAAAATAATGTTTACTTCCTTCTTTCAATGCAAAGATGTAATACTGAAAACTGAAAAGATAATTTTCAGTATTCACCAGGCCTTTTGCTTAGATGTACATTGTATGGGAGGAAAACTTTCCCCTGATAGTTGTGTTGTGTGGTGATGGTGGTAGACGTGGGTATTTGAGACACTGTCTCCCTATATATTGCAGACTGGCACTGAACTCACTATATAGTCTACACTGGCCTTCAACTCACTGCGTTCCTCCTGCCTCAGCCTCCTGAGAGCTGGGTTTAAAGGCAGGCACCACTTGGCCCAGCCTTCCCCTGGTCTTTGTAATTAAAATTTTTTAAACACTTACAAAAACAAAAACCCTGACATTCACTGATTAGTAAGAACACGTAGGTACAGAGGTTACGTGCTTCATGGGCACTTTACACATAGAATAAAACCCAGACTCCAGACCTGCTCTGGGCAGCCTGACTCCTGCTTCCAGCTTGTCTGCCTCCGCACTTCCCTTATTCACTGAGTCCTTGCTCACCTGCCCTCCTGTCCTGCAGGCCTCACAGTGCTTTGGAGGCTGTTACTCTTCCTTCTCCCAGAATGGCCTTCTGCCATCCAGTGGAACCCCATTTCCTTCAGGTCTCCGCTCAGATGTGTCCTCCTCTGGCCACAGGAGCAAGTCAGCTAGCTGCCCACCACACCAGGTCTTACTGAGTACACCATTTACATATCTGCTTTTCTGTTTTTCCCTGTCTCCCCTTGCCCCATCCCTCCCTTTAGAAATCCTAAGCACCTGAGAATATATATACATGTGTTTTTCCCACTGTGGTCCAGTGCCTGCATGAAACTGCCTACTTAATAAGCAGTGGATGGGTGGATGATTCTCCTTTCTCAAAATAAGCTTGTTGGATAAATATGATTTTTTTTCACATGGAAAATGTTTCCTGCAGTCAACTAAGCTGTCTCAGGGAGTCTCTGGAGTTTGGAGTTCATCTGATATGACTGGATTGTATACTTTTTACTGTTCTGTTCGGATCAGTGGAGATATAAACATGACTCTCAGTAAGGTCGTTTCACAAGCAGTACAAACTTGACATATTTATTAGATCACATGTAGGACATTTAAGGAGGGCTGTTGTTAAAAGTAAGTGTTTTTATATAATAAACTATGGAATTATAATCAGTTATTATTTCTATATTTAAAAACATAGGCAAAGGTTAAAATAAGCCTTTGGTACTTACTTTCTCTTAACGTCACTTCAAAATATGAAAAAAAATTTCTTAAAACTATTATGAAAATACCGCCTCCCTAAGCTTAATTTATGAGATTTGATAGAGATCTTTTTGTACAACTAAAAGGAAAAAAGATTAAGTATAAAATGTTTGTCTTTTAATTTCTTTTGTGTACCATTTTAAGACCAAACTTATTACCCAGAGAAGTTTCCTTTCCATTTTACTGTCAAAGTATTAAATATGATTTGTTGTACTGAGCATTATATAAGTCAAGTCCATGCATATCTTGTTAGTTACCTTTTCTTGTATGCTTCTGTAGAAGCTACCCCTGTTTTTCTCATGAAAATGACAGCTGAATGAAAAGAAAGCTTGTTAAAATACCGTATCTTCTGCTTCTGTTGATCACTGCATTTTACTTCTTAGTTTCCAGTATAATTATATGAATCTTGTATACATACATGCACACAATAAGTATATAAAGTAAACTCAGAAATGAGACAAAAATTTTGCTTAGGGGATCGGGAAAAAAAGGAATCAAAATATATCATGTACAGGTACAAATTCCTTATGATGAGCATGATCATTATGCATGTCTAAAATGTACCAATAAACTTAATTTTAAAGATTTTAGTTACTTTGAATGAAATATGAAATAGAATTTAACCTACACAGGAATGCAAGAAAGGAGTAATTATGAGTTGCTATTCATGGTATCTGGGATAGAAGGTCAGGAAGCTCAGTGGAAACAGAATTTGTATGGCATTTTGAATGTGTATCTTATTTTCATTTGGGGAAAACAAAGAATGGAGGAAAATTTGTAAGTGGTCTTTGCAGTGTTGACAAGAGAGGCTTTCATCTGATGTTAGGATACAGAGCATCAAGTGTGGGTTTGTTGAAAGTTAGGAATAAGCATGGCTTTAGCACACAGAGAAGGTGGCTCCTATACATAAATCAGAGACATTAAGCACTCTAAAAATGGTAATACACTGCCTTCAAAGCCCAAATTATGGGTTACTTCAGATATTGTGAAGTGGAAAAGTCAGTTGTTTGGTGCCCTGGGAAACTAACCATTCCTTCTGTTCACCAACTTCTCTGGGTGTTTCAGCAATTTAGATCATGCGGGGGAAATAGCAAACTTTCTTCTGAGAGCTCATGCTACTGACTAGTGGATCTGCAGAAAAGCCCGTAATTGCTCATTTTGGTGATGGACTGACCACGGCTTCGTGGAATGGCCACTTTTTGTGATAAATTGGTGATTAAAGGAGTTAATGAAAATGTCATAGTCTGTGAACTATAAAGCAGAAATAACATTTTAAGAACTGTTATTTAAACTGTAACAGTGTGAGACTACCTTTTGCATCTTCATATTTGAGATTTGCATTTGTGTGTTTTCAGACAACCACAAGGACTGTTCGGGTGTGACCCTACACCTCACCCGCGTGCCGTAAGTACCTCCCGTTCCTCAGATGAGCAACGACCCTATGATCTTTGAGAAATTAAAAGTGGGAAACTCATTGTTTTTCTTATCCCTGTGGAAAACAAATTAGCTCAAACCCAGTGCTTAGAAATGTGATCATTTATTACTTCAGTGTCTTGTGGGCCAGAAATCTGAGCCTTCTGACCCATATTTCAGAAGCTGCAGTTTCGCTGGGACCTCATGTAGTGCCTGCCCCCTGGAAAAGCTACTTCCAAGATTGGTTGCATGATTCATCCCTCTTCCCTGCCTGGTGGTTGAGCATCTCTTTGGCTCTTGCTCCTTTGCCCGCTCCCTCTTTCTTCAGATGGGATATTAGCACTCCACACAATATGACAACTGGTCTCCACCACAGAAAGTAAACAGAAGAGCTAAAGAGAGCTTGTATGAAGAACGAAAGCCAGAGTCTTGAAACCTAATCTTAGAAGTGACATACCATCGCTTTTGCCATATTCTATTTGTTAGAAATAATGTATTGCGCTTATTTCTGTCCATGTTCAAGGAGAGGGAATGAAAGTTGGACCTGAATGCAGGAGTCATGACAGCTGTATTAGTCAGGGTTCACAAAAGAAACCCACATTAATGAGGTGGAGAGAGAGCGGAGGTGGATAGAGGAGAAACAGGGAGAGAGAGAGAGAGAAATAGAGAGAGAGAGAGAGAGAGAGAGAGAGAGAGAGAGAGAGAGAGAAAGACAGACAGATAAAGACAGAAACTGATTAGAAGGGATTTTCGAGGGACCGACAAATCCAAAATCTGTAAGTTGATTGGAAAGTCAAAGAGTAATTGTTGCTTTCTTGGGTCCAAAGACAGTTTCTAGGCAGAATTTCTTCCTTCTCAGAAGAACTTAGTTTCTTCTGAAGCCCTTCAATTAATTAGATAAGACTTATCTGCCTTATGGAAAATAATCTGCCTTACTTAAAGTCTGGTTTAAATATTAGTCACATTTTAAACAAAAACATCCAGGAATACCTAGACTGATTGCTTGAGCCAAAAACCAGGACAATGGCCTAACCGTGCTTGTGTAAAAATAACCGTTTACAGGAGCCATTTATAGGCTGCATTTACCTATGTATACATACAAAAATATCCCATTTATGTGTGTATATATTTTACTTCCCTGTCTATAGTGTTTAACTTTAATTTTCAAAAGAATCACATTTTATTAACCCATTTTTCCATAGCAATAGCTTTGGTTTGGTCAGACAATTGAGAAAATCATTACTTTTCTGCACAGACAGCCTTTAATTGCTGGCATGTATCTTATGATGTCTGTGGACACTGTTATACCACCAGGAGAGGAAGGTGAGTAATGATCTCTTCCTGTTTGCCATTCTTCTCAACTAATCGATAGCAATGGATTTCCGATATATTTTTCACAAGCTTTTTAAATGACCAGTATTTGTACCTGAAAAATATACCAATTTTTTATTGCCCATGAATTTAAAATAGATTTTGGTTTTATTCTAAGCCAATGTTTTATTAATTTTCCAATGTTTGTTTACTGAGATGCTAAGGTTAAGACCAGTAGGAAGATAGTGGGTTGGATAAAGTAAGTAAGAAGTGAAAGTATTTTACAAATCAATCATCCACTCTTTCATTGCAAAAATTGCATGATGTTAAAGTGGCATGAATTACCAAGTGGAAAGGTTCAAAATCAAGAGGCTAGTAAATCCAACACTACTCAGTCTTTGAATTAGATATGCTAATTTGCCTATTTGCAGAACAGAATCAAAAACAGCTGACTCTGCTAAGCTGATGAAAAGATACAGGAATATGTGTAATGGTAACTATCAGCATATGTAAAATCCTCTAATGAAAGTGTTACATTAAATATTATCTGTCTTGACTGGAGGTCTTTTAAAGGTAATAGTCAGTATGGTCTCTTTGCTGTTCTTCATTGATCAGTTATAAAAGAAATATCTACCCAAGTACTACTATGTGTTACACCATAAAGAAAGAGAAGTATCTGAAGTGGTCCCTTCTGAACATAAACTGTGATTTTCAGTGATTGTACTCAATTTTTCAAAAATTATTTTGTTCCAAAAATAAAAAAATTAAACTTTTCCAAGTGTATGATTTTTTAGATAAAGGTAATAAAATAGGCCTGTGCTTTCACTGAAAGGACATTTTGATTTAACCCAAATGATTTTGTTTATAAATAAAATAAAGCTGTGAGGCAAGAGAGTCTTAATTCATTTTATGGAGATGCTCAGCACTGAGTGTGTAATACCAGCTGCGTATCTGCTGAGTGTGTGTGTGTGTATTTCTTCCATAAGAAAACATCAGTGTCTGGGATCTTACAAATGCCTTATCCGTGCTTTCAGACAAGGAGAATGCCATTTGCCTGTTGAATAGTTACTTTTCTCTGTGTTTTCCTTTCCCACAGTGGTGAATTCCGATATTTCGTGCCATTATAAAATGTATCCCATGCATGTGTTTGCCTATAGAGTTCACACTCACCATTTAGGTAAGAATCTTAAATTGTATCAACATTTAAGAAATTATCAACATTTATCATCTTGCTTACTAGGGCTGTGAGTGTAAAATATAAATTATATTTGAAGTCTGTTTCAGTGATAATAACTTTTAGTAATTTTCGGTACTCAGTATTTGGGGTTCTGGAAATATTTTGATTTTATTTTATTAAAAGAGGAATAAAAAATGCCTTTTTCCTAATCCCTTACCGTGTTGTATAATTTGTGCTTGTTAAGGTAAAGTAGTGAGTGGATACAGAGTAAGAAAAGGACAGTGGACACTCATTGGACGCCAGAGCCCCCAGTTGCCACAGGTGTGTAGAATCTGATTTAATTCTGAGAGGGGAAAAGTAACTTTTAGAAATCTTCATGTAACTCTTCTTTCTAGAACCTAAGAGTCTCCAAATTTGTCTCTAATGTAACTTCCAGTTTGGTGCATTCTGTTACATCTCTCAATGTAATCTAGACATGTTGTGCTGGTGAAGTCTTCCCTCCTGTTATATTTATTCTCATTTTTTATGGGATGCATTTGTAAACAGTATCTTGTTTATTTCAGTCTTGTTACTTGGGTCATAAAGTAGGACTGAATTAATTAAAGGTGGACTCTTGTGTCTCTGTCTGTATTCATTCTCTCCTCCCATATTACTCCAAACCTCACATTCTTCAAGCACGTGGTTCTGGGTTTTACTGCCAATTTTAATGAATTATTATGTTTGTTTTACTGCCAGGCTTTCTACCCAGTGGAACACCCGGTGGAAGTTAGTTTTGGTGACATACTGGCAGCAAGATGTGTATTCACTGGTGAAGGAAGGACAGAAGCCACACACATTGGGTAAGATTTTGCACGTTCCCCTATTTAAAGAGAATTTATTAGATCAAAGAAAAATTACAGGTAACAGCTATCTTTGTGAATTAATTATATACTTTTTTTTTTTTTACCTGTTGTAGACATTTACAACAAACTAGCATTTCATCCTTCCTAGCTGATCAATTTGGGTAAATGCCAGAATATGTGCTATTTATTCAGCTATCCCCTCATACTACAGTGAATATATGATTATATATTACTTCTTCAGGATTAGATATTCTTCAGTTTCATTTTAATAAAGAAAATAGCATGATTATGAAAATTTGTTTCAAGAGTTTTTTGCTCTATGTTCAAAGGTAGTCAAACAGACATTTGCATTGGGTATTCCTCATTATATACTTGGATTGTATATGATTTATATATGATTTATGTGTATAAACTTGTGTATGATTTATATGTATAAACTTGTGTGCATTCAATAGGTCTTTATTACTGATTCTATTAAGTGAGGGTAATTTTGTAAAAGGGGATGTCAAAACTTTTAAAATTTTTTCAAAATTCCGGGCATCCCTGAATAAGTGTATTTTTTAACACTAAGTAAAAATTTCATACAAGTGTGGTGGCACACACCTATAATCTTAGCACTCTGGAAGGCTAAAGTAAGATGACCGTAGTTTGAACCCAGCCTGGGCAAATTGGTGATAGGACTGGGGATATAACTCAGGGTAAAATGCCTCGGCTCAAACCCCAGTATCCCAAAAAATTAAAAATAAATTCAAACCACAATGAACTCTTTCAAAATAGATAAAAGATTAAAAATGAATGATCAATGATTGATTGATTTTGCCAGAGAAGAATCAAGGAGCCACCTTTCCATGTTAAATTAGGCTTTAAGCTATTTGCTGAGGCTACTTGAAAGCTAGGTTTTAAACCATTCACCGCTTGATCAAAGAAAAGGTGCAGAAAATAAGGATCTGAAAATATGCACTCAATGCACTCGAGAGGCTTCTTCTTTTTTTTTTTTTTTGTCTTTTTCATTTTTATCGGTACCAGGGATCAAACTCACAACCGTCTGCTTGCAAGGCAGGTGCTTATGCCACTGAGCTAAATCCCCAGCCCCCTCGAAAGGCTTCTTACAACAACACTTAATTACTGGTTTTAAGGGGAAAGAGAAAAGCATTAATGAAGGTTTAAAAAGGACCTTTGCTAAAGAAGAAAGAGTTTTTGTGTTAATCAGTAACACTTCTATAGCTAAAGATAAAATAGAAAAAAAGATCTCTATTTATGTATAACAAAATGCTTTGCAGCAGCTTTGCTTTGGGATAAATTAGAGAAAGAGATGAGGTAAACAGGAAAAGTATTGAGTTACTGGGAATGATGCTAAGAAAAGGGTCAACAGAAACATAGTAAGGTTTAAACAAAGGAGTCTAACAGTTGATTCTTAGTAGTGTTTAAATACGTGAGGTTAAATGATTCAAGGGTGCTGGTCAGCTGTTCTCTCATTTACATTTAATGGAACTACAGGAATTGTGTGCTTGTAGCCACTAAGTTATTTTATTAACCTTTAAAATAAGTAACCAAAGTAGTAAAAGAAAAAAATTCCTTTCAAAACATTACATGTGTTGGTTTACAAGTATAAGTGTGGAGAAAGTAAAATCTCTTTTTCCCAGAAGTCTCTTTCCAGTTTTGGAGGGTGTGTAATTTTGGCCATATTCCATCCTTTGAATTCGCTCTGGGAGATAATATCAGCCCCAGAAATTAACGACTTGCTCAAGTACCAGGATGGGAGGCCAAAGTGATCTCCGGAGGCCTCTTTTAGTTTCATGACTCTAGCATAATTCCAGTCTTTTTTTAAAATGTGCATTTTGCTTTAAAATAATACACTCAAATAGCTATGCTAATCTACCCTTTTGTGAATCTCATATGGACTAAAGGAAATACCATTTTGTAAATAAATGAAATCAAAAAGAATTGTAGGAAATTAAGTTATTGGTTGAGTACATATTCAGAATGTTTAAATCATACTGCAAAAGCAGGTTTTTTTGCAACAGAATGACAAAATAAGACAAGCATGAATAAATTTAAACATCAATAAAAGTCGTTTTAACCATGCAGAATATTCCTTATAGGACTTAATATGCCTTTTTAGTTCACAAAGCTAATAGCAGCAATGCATCGTTGTTTCGTAAAATAATATGTACAACTTTCATAGGGTGGTACAATATCATAGTTAAGAGTGTAACCAGTAGAAAAGTAGTGTTTTGTGTTGTCTATTAAATTAAATGATACTCTGCAAATATCTCTTTTTTATTCTCTCTTCCCATCTATCCCCAGCACGCGTACACAGATGTCCCACTAGACACATATTTGAATACAGAACCAGAAGCACTGTGATAACTCGGACCCCGGTATAAAATCCAAGGAAGCAAGAAATTAAAATTTGGGAAGCAAAGGCTTTATTAGGTAAAATCCAGGCCTGGATTTTACTTAATAAATTTTAAGAAATTAAATTTTAATTTAATTTCTTAATTTATTTCTTAAAATTTAAATTTTAAGATTATTTTAAGATTTATTATTTTAAGATTTAAGATTATTTTAAGATTTAAATTTTAAGATAAATTTTAAGATGTAAGATTTAAATTTAAAATTTAAATTTTAAGAAATAAATTTTAAGAAATTAAAATTTGGGAAGCAAAGGCTTTAATTAGGTAAAATCCAGGCCTAGAGTCTCCGGAAGCCAATTTGGAGACTGTGCACCTCACAGCTAGAGTCAGGACTTTTTATCTTGTAAATCCACAAACAGCTGCTGGTCACACAATGTAAGGAGGGGGATGGGGGTGTGACGCACTACAAAGCAGAAACGGCAATTCCAAGTCTCCCTGCATACTAGCAAGTTTAGATAAGAAGAAATCTTGTTTTTCTTAGCAAAGAATAGAAAAGTCTAACAGCAATTAACAACCTTAGTTACCTTACTTTAGCACCACAACTGTTCTATTTGTAGAGGGCAACAATGGTTAACATATCAATTAGGCAAGATTTTACAGTTCTTTACAGAGGAGATCATTGATTAACATATCAATCCTTTGCCCAGAGGGAAAGGAAAACACACATTTACAGTAAGGCCAAGTTACAGGTATTACTATGATACAAACGAAGCTATTTTTGTGAAGAATGTACAATCTAATACAATCTAATGCAATTAACACAGACCCGGGTTGTCAGGAGCTATTACCTCAGGCCTTTGTTTTATGGCCTTTAGGAAGTTAAAACTTAACCTAGTTAGATTTGAAGTAAGAAAGGGAGGGGAAGCAGCAGGTGGGCTTATACAGAACAGACCTTACTGCACAATAGTTAGGGGGCCTTAGGTTATAACAGCACTTAGTTATAAATCACACTTAGGTCAGGTAATGTGGCATCAGTAGCTGGCTCCTTGATTTACGGAAAAAATAGTGTTTCCGAGTTTTGCACCATTTTGTTCTGCAGTCCACTGAAAACTAACTTTTATAGGAAAACCATTTTGGCAGTAGTATACTAGGAAGATTTTCAGCTGAGTGATTCTTCTCTGAAATTAAGCTAAACTCTATATTGAGCTGGAAAAGTTAGGGCTAGAAAAAACTTTGCTTTGGTGAAACCCTCATGATTCACTAATAAAAATGTTTTTAAAATGAGGATTGATGTTCTCATACGACAGGTTTATCTCAAAAATACCACCATTACATAGGCGGATTTAACAACCTAATTGTCCACCTGGGGATATGAAAGGGTAAAATAAATGTATACACAACGGAACGTTATTTGGTCTTTTAAAAAGAAAGAAAAAAGTCCTCTTAATTGCAAAACAATTTATGAAGCTAAAAGACATTATAGTAAATAAAATGGGCCAACCACAGAAAGACAGAATCTTACATGAGCCCACTAGTATGTGGAATCTTAAAATGTTGAAATAGGAAGAAAACGATGGTTTCCCAGGGGCTGGAGGAATGGATGGGAGGGGGAGAAAATGGGAGCTGTTGATAAAGGGGATCCAACATTTTGACAAGAAAAATAGATTTTGATTTCAGTTTCACAGTTAGGTGACTCTAATACTGTATATGTTAAAATACACAAAAAGTGAATCTCAAATACCTACCACAGGGATTTACAGGAGTATAAAATGAACTTGATTTAATGGTTGTACATTGTTTAGATACATCAAACCATAGTGTTGTGCCCTATAAATGTAGATAATTATGATTTGTTGAGCAAAGATAAACTTGATAAAAATATTTTAAAAATAAATGTACTCAAAATATATTGACAAATATATTCAATGTTTTATCTAAATATATTTCTTTCAGGGTTGTAAATATGAACAGTATATATTAGAAACAGACATTGCACCAAAGTAAATATCCTGATAGTACTAATTAATCTGTAAAGTGGTAATCCATGTCTAGATGCATTGCATATTTTACATTCAATATGACATTCCTCTAAATTCATTTCAAATGTTTAGTGAAGTTTAAACAAAAAATAGAATTTAATTAAGTCAGCCGATTAAGCTAATTGCATCAGCTAGTCAGCTTAGAAGTTTGTAGGCCTAAATTTCCAATTAGCTCTGTGCATAGGTTGATTATTTACTTACTTGGCCAATGTTGTTAGTCATACATTTCATTTGGAAATGGAGTCATTTGAACTCAAGAGAATATGACATTGTCTAAGTAATATGCATATATAACTAAGCATAGCACTTTAATTAGCAATTAAAAGCACATTATATGCAAAGATAAAGTTGTATGATAAGTAATAACTCCCTTAATTTGTAAGTTTAAAAGCACCATGGAACCGCTTAAGAAATGAAAGTTTTGTAAAATAGCTTCATTAAAGTTTTCATATTTGCAAAATAGTATTATCCATTTTGATTGTTTTCAAACCCAGCATCTATTAAACATAAGAGACATGGGGGAAGGGAAGGGAATCATTATGCTAGTAGGGTATCATTGTTTTCCACCCAATTGTGGTGTGCAACAGTATTTAGAGTTTCT